GAACTTTATGGGTAGCTATAGATTACTTTCTGGGCTTGTATACTTGTTTTATTGACCAAAAGTCGACAGCAAGATCATATTAATGAAAAGTTTAAATTGAATTTATATAATGTTGTTTTTGCATTGAATCTTTTTAAAAAGATGTCAAAAAAAGACCAACGCATGCACGGTAGGCAATTATGTCATTATACTACACTATTACAAGATTGAAGGTCACTTAACATTAAAAAAAAAGCCGAATAAAAGAACAAGTATATTTCACCGTTAAAAAGAAAGAAAGAAAAAAAACGACATGTTTAGAAGTGCTGAAGAATCGAACCCACAATCAGTTTGACGCCGCTATTCGAGAAAGATCTTGTAAAATTAAAAAAAACCGGCTCGTAATTAATAATTTACTCACTTAATATAGCGCTTTTTAACATTAAAATTAAAATTTTTCTGACGTACTCGAGTCGAGGATCTAACTTGGGATCCCATGAGCTTTCGRTAGACTGTGATGTGGAAAAAAACAAAGCTACTGCATTATAAGACCGTGCCGCAGGCCTTAATCAGCCTGGGCACGGTAAATAGATGTTAAAAAAAATCGCAGAAAATGGTATTGCTTTCGAAAGATGGCTTCAATAACTGACAAATCGTTAGTGCCGTCATATACTCAAAAGTGACCACAAAACTTAGTTGGTGGGAATTCTCGTCATTATCAGCCGCAACGGGACCAAAACACTGATTTCAAACCCTAAAAGTGACGACGAGGACCCTCGCCCTTTTTAGTCTYCCTGCCTCGCTATGTATACACCAACTCATGGTTATCACAGCAMTAGGTTAAAAACCAAATCAACCTGAAATCACCAGAGAGAAAGAAAAAGATAAATTGTATCTCCGGGTTTCCTGTTTTTTTTTCATCCAATAGTTGAGCCAACTGATAATTGGTCAGTGGTCAGTCTAAACAATCCAAAATGGCGACCATGAAGACATCTCCGAGTTTAGTCAGTTTTTGCGTATTTAATTCGACGTTTGGTCCTCGGGAAGGCACGGTAAGRCATTGATAAGCCAATTCAATGGATCATCTTTCATGGCCGTCACGAAATTTTTGGCTAATATTTTAAAATAGAGCAAAATCGATGCTCAAATCCTGGAATACATTTTTGACATTAGCAAGAAATTTGTACAGATGTTTGCTGTCATTTATTAAAACTTTAATGTAAAATTTTGAGATTTATGTAAGTCAGTGTTCAACTAACAAGTAGTGTATTCGATGGATCTTGATGAGGATCCAAGCATCATAAAATAAATGAATATATAATAAGTCTTACATTTGTATTAAAACTTCGGTTTTTTTTTTTTTTGCATTTTTGTAGGAACATCAAAAAATTATACTGTATATTCCAACTGAAGAGGACATCGACAAGAAAATAAGAAATATTGGTCTATGTGAGGCACTAATTAAATTCACAGAGTAAGCTTAGTTAACATGTACTAAAAGACAATGTCCTTAATCCATAATATTTTTAATGTTACATTAAGTATTTTTTTATGCACTTTTAGGATATTTACTACATGGATGCAGGTTATTGAAGAGTGGCAAACATAACAAAATTTAATTAATACTAACAACTTCTACTGAAACAGGATTTGATTCAATTCCTTTTATTTTGCTTTTTAACAGAACATTTCAACCGTCAAAGCCCTGTGAATCGCTGCACACGCAGAAAACTAGACAAACATTTTTCCAGCCTGAGCCAGAATACTGGATGGTTATGGTTAGTATTATTTAAAAGAAAACAATAGCTAAAATACACTGTGTGATTATATGCTTTAAATATCCCAATAGANCAAATTCATACAAGACGAGGCACCAAGAAAAACAGAGGAGCTTATCCGACGATCGAATAAATCGCGAGAAACGAAACGGCATTGCTACAATATTGATTTTTCAGTGTGTTTTAATTGTGTTTGATTGCACGCGTGTTTAGACATTTTGTATATTTTCAGGGGAGTGCGGGGCTGATTATTACTCAACGTTTTCCTGATACAGACCTAATTAATAAAACATTAGTTCTGTATCACTGATACAGAACTAATGTTTTATTAATTAGGTCTGTATCAGGAAAACGTTGAATGATAATCAGCCCCGTACTCCCCTGAAAATATTCAAAGCCGCCCCTAACTTTGAGCTTGCTGCACCTTTTATCCAATATAAAGGTATTATCACGTGATTAGATTCTCAGTATATCATTGGCTAATGACATAATGAATTATTAATGAGTTTGATAAGTCTATATACAGGGGGTTTCATAAAATTTGGAATTAGGTGGCTGTTCTGAAAACTGTACAGTGCTGCAAGATTTACAAGTACCGTAATTTCTATTGGCAAATACACACCAGCTTCCAATGAATTCCGTTAATTATAATTACTGAAACCATTTTAAATTGGTGCTATACACTAGCACTTTTAAATATACTATATATACTTTTGAACTTAGTGAAGTTGTCCTTCAGTATATGACCTATAMTTTTGAGTTATTATATATCATTATCATATAATTGTTATATCAATATCAGTGTTTTATCTTGTTGGTTTTCAGTCAACCAGTGTACCTTAYAGTGAGAAAATTGTCAAAGATGGCAAGAAAGTAGTTGACCATCATGATGATGACCTACTGGTAGGAAACAATTTGTAATTACTGTTTAATACGTTTTGTTTGAAATTAAAATCACAATTATATATAGATAAACCTTTTCCTTAATATCCCCGTATACTCCATGAAATGGAGATTATAAGACTCAATATTGCATGAGAAATCATTGTTTTGGAACCTTGAAGTTTTGGAATTTGTGCTTTTCTACTACTCATGGCAAGAGCTATGGTTGCTTCTGTCTCAAGAAAGAACAAAAGGATACAGCATTTTATTCTTGACCAACATATCTATGAAATCATATTTATATGATCGATATCTTATCAAAATGTGTTACCTTGTTATTATAGGAACCTCATCTTGATAGTTTTACAAGTCTTCGTATATTTTATTATCTATAAGTAGTATTTCATTACAAGTATGTCCTGCAGTGAGTCTGAAAGTATTCACGTTGTTTTTCCAGGATAGTATATTAGATGCAGTTCTCAAACAAGCATACAAAATGTTTAGAGTAAGTCTCAAATAAGCYTTTTTCCAATTCAATGTGAGCGACCGCTGTTTTAGTAGACAACAGACTCACTTGSGTAGAGGACAAAAGAAGGCACRAAAASATGTTGACATTACAATAGCTCTAGAAATTTGAATYTTCGCCRATTCGAGGCTTAGCCTGAGCAAGAGTTTGAATCTTTTGGGAATACAGGCTTAGTGCTGTTGTAATGAMAACATTTTTTYRYGMTTTSTTTTGTTTTTGGTAAAAGGTCTCTGCGCATGAGAGACTGTTGTCCACTAAAKCAGTGATTGCTCRCTTTGAACTGGAAAAASGTATAATGTATTATTTCTCTTGTARGTTATTTTAAGGTTATGATTCCATGAAGAGATTTGTGTATAATTAAGGAAATTTAATATATAAATAATTTTATTTTTTCAGTTATTCAATGGAACCTTCACATACCTCTTTAATACATATAGCGTGGAAACGTTGCGGAAAAGATGTGAATATTTTTTTGTACATGTAAGTGAAAATTTTATTYGAAATATAATCATCTGTTAGTTGATCGAYRTAAGACTGTAATGGCCTYCAMAGTATTAGGTCTGCCRTCAATGCATTCTTGCTGAGCAAACAATGTCCAGCTAAACACWGTMTTTTTGGCRTGGTAGTGATGGAAAGAATGTTGAATTCTTTGTTGGTTKGAGGTCTTTCCAWRACCTGTTTAGGCCATGCTAAACATGTGATTAGGAGATCAGTGTAGTCGACTCCTTGCACCTGTTTTCATTTTGGAACAGGGACAGGAATCCTGAAATAAAAACAGGTGCGAAGAAGACTAGCAGCAATGCAGCTACAAAACAATTCTGAATGGTTTAATAATGTTTAGGAGTTGAAGTCACATGATGTTGATTGATGAAAATTGTTACTTTCATTTTTTATCAAAACCAGTCATTCCAATAATTCTTATCGTTTCAGTATCTTCAAACCTTGAATTTCTCTAATTTTGATGTAATGGATGTCTTCTCAGGTACAGTATAAAGTAAAAAAAATTATTGTAACACAATGGCTGATTCAATAGGTGGGATCACAAGATTACGGAATGATTATAAAAGATATGAATAATCATGACGACCGCATGGCACTATGGGAGACATGATATAGAAGTTGTAAAAGAAAGTTATAGTGCTTAGAAGGAAAATAAATTTGGAAAAAATACTCCGACCTTGCTGAATGATTGACTGATATAATGTCATGTGACCTGTGGTGAATTTAAAATCATGTATCTGCTCCAAAGACCCTTAGTTAGTTGTAGCAAAGTTAATCATTAATCAGGACAATATGCCCTCTGTTGACTCATCAAAGTAAATTCTGCCATGACAATTTACCCATTAAGTGTCCTACAAGTTGTCTTATCATTTATAAAGGAAATTGTGTTTATTGATTGATTAAGTATTGTATTTCTTATTCAGGCATTCAATTTCTTCCCTTGGATAAAAACACCTTTTTAAAAGTCCAGTCTTTTGTCAACCTGGTAGAGCACAGTTTTCTGTAAGTAATAGTAGCATTACTATTGATGA